GGACTAGGTGGAATTGAGATTTTTTTTTAAAAAGTGGGAATAGGTGGAAGACACCTTATTAAGGATGTGTGGAATGTATGCTTGGTGATTTTTTTGCTTAAAAAAACTGCATGAATAGCAAAGTAAAAGTTAGATTAACCTCTACCTCAGTTGTTTTCTGCAATATGTTTAACAGAAAAAACACATTTAACACTGAAAATAATTTTTTTTAAGTCTCTGTCCACAGATATTAAGATTGGTGATAGAGTTTGGTAGCACATAATGATATCGGTAAAATCACAGCTAAGTTGGAAGAGCCGAGTTTTGAGACATAGTATTTTAAGATGAGATCTACACGATAGATCCTGATAGATTGGTCCCTGAGCTGGGAATATCCTTGAATTTTCATTTGTGGAAATTCATAAAAAAGTAGTTTGGATTAGAAATAATAAATGTTCATGAAAAATCATAAAACGAGACACAATATTCATGTTTAAAGTCATCTTCCAAGCCACTCTCCGGAGTCCGGTCATGACTCTCCAGAATGGGAGAGGATCGTACTCTCAGGCCGTGGTTTGCAATGATGATATAGAGTAGAAATTCTTCAAAGATTTAATTTAAAAAAGTGATGTATCACAGCCAAATATAATTCACCAACTCTTAAGACCTCAATTTATATAAATTTAATGAAAATTCATTGATAGCAACTATACATGACGAATTATTTGTGTTTGTATAAATTGTACACCCTTATCTATTAATTTGATTTTTCTGAAGTGTTTATTAAAATTAGTGGGTAATACTGTATTCAGAAACAATCAATATATTAGTTGAAAGCATTTGTTTTTATGATAATGTGAAAATTAATTTTGGTCACGCGAGAAAGTAAACGGGAATGGAAATTTAAAATCGTAAGAAATGGGGAAACAATCAGACATCTTAACAATTTAAAAGTATTCTTATATGTTATGTAGAATCAAGTTAGTTCAAAAGGATATTGTTAACTAGTTTCAAACAATCTGGAAGCATCATAATAGACACATGATGTGAGTTTCAAAGCGCGTCGTTTTTAAATTGTTTATAAAAACGGAGAAGACATTTGCTTTTAATGCATACATTGTATGCTTGTACATAGCTTAATGTATGTTTTTATTTAATATTTTTATTATTAACTGATTAATTGTTGGTATTGTTTTTATCTTCTATTAGATGGTGAATATGGCAGCTCTACATACAAACACATGCTATGTAGCCAGGCCCGTAGTTTACCGGGGACACTTTTTCTAATAATATAGTCTTTCTGACACAAGCTTACTTTGTAAATTAATAGCGGGGAGTTGCTTGCAACCCACTTTTTGTTCCCACTCCCACTTTGAAAAACTTGAGCACTACGGGCCTGGTAATGCATCAGTAGCTGCTAGCAGTGTGTGTATTTTTACTTTAGTTTTGTTATTGTGGTCTGTATTATCGCTTAATACTTTTGTTGAAATCATTTGTGTGTCCTTTTTTTGGCGACATCGTCTTGTCCGTTGAAAAAAAATATAAAATATTGGATGAAACTGTGTCTTGTGAAGTTTTTTTTCAGACTGTAGGTGAGAGTTTGACTTTCAGCTCAGCCAAACAAAGGATCGAGTGAATTTTCTAAGTTGTCGATTCTTGAGTTAATTATCCTTGTTTGGCTTCCTATTTATCCATCCCTTGAAAATGAAAAGGATATCATGTATAAGCACGCACTTGTGTTCGGGGGGGGGGGGGGGTCCCGTATTTTTTTTTCAAAACATAATATAATTATGATATAATATTGAAAATGTTGATTGAAAGTAAAAAAAAAAACATGAATTAAGTGTAAATTTTTCATTGAATAAATTATAGTTGTGAATATCGATTCATTAATCTGTGTTTTTAAAACCGGTTTCTTGGTCAAAATTCCACGACGCGGCTCAATTTTTGAACGGACTGGGGTCTAAATTCAACACCTTTGGTCTCAATATTCAACTTTGGAAAATAATCCCTTGGATCAATTTTCAACCCGGGTCAAAATTCTACGTTACCAGGGACGTATCTAGGGGGTTTAATGTGGAAGCAAATCAAGGTAGGGGGTTTGGGGGCCGCCTTAAGGCCCCCAATGGGTTCAGGTGAAACCCTGGTGGGGGCCCAGGGGGCGAAGACCCCGAAAGCTGGCGAGTTTTCAGTATTTCTGACATTTAATTTTGGGTATCCAGTAAAGAGGGTTACATTAAAATAATCAACGTTTCAACGTTTAAATTGCTTATTTCCTCGTCATGAAATCAGCAATAAAGAAGAAAAAGTATTGCCTGATTTATGATGGGATTTATGAGCCATTTTCTATAATGACTTGAACTTTTATATAGGAGCTGTGGCACGCATAGTCTCAGAATTTCTCCAAACTCTCTATGATAAAAGTCTTTGATACCGTAAACTCAAATCAGGCAAAAATTGGTTGCTACGTGTCATGGTTAACATAGCAACATGTCCTAAAGTTTGAAAAATGGCATTTTTCAACATGTTTAGAGTCCCATAGTTAACGTTTGCAGCTAAGCAAACAAGTGGCATTGACTGTTTCTTAAAGTTGAATGCCTGGCCCCGGGATCTTGAAACATCTTAAGCTTAAGTCAAAATCATTATATTGTAATAAAATGTTGTAAAAGTCAAGCAGACCAAAATTAAAATATTTTTCAATGTTGCTATACAAAAGTGTTGTTATTTGCAAATTTAGAGATCAATTCAATAATTAATAAATATTTTACAGGCAATTGAAAATTTGACTTAAGTCTTAGTCTGTTTCATGATCCTGGGGCCAGAGATGTCTTAAATGCATGATAAACATATTTGGCAAATCAACTATTACGTACGTTACTATTGAAACAAAGTATTCAAAAGTAATAATATGATATTTCTTATAGGTTGACAACAGTTGCCATGGTTTCAATACCACGAAGGGATTTTAAATTTACTCTCTTAAAATTAGTATTTTAATCTTATCTTATCTTTTTAAAAAGCATATTTCTATATAACTGTTGATCAATTTTAAAGGCGTTGGTGCGATCCTAATTTTCACATTTCAAAAAATTCAAAGTAAATTCTTTAAATAGAGCGTTGCTATGGAAATAAGCCGAAAAAATATGCATAAAAATCCGATAAATATTCTTTTCCCTTGGATACATACCCTTGTATGTAGATTCCCAAATTTTTTATGATTTATATTTATGAACAACTAACTTGACTCACTTTCAAGTTTGACTACCACCCAATCTCTAACTGGATGCAGAAAGCTTTCACATAGGGTTTAATATTGATATAAAGTAAAAAAAATCGAACCTCTTCCCTTCTTGGTAGCCGTAGCAACGGTGTTTTATTTTTTTTTATCAAACTTTATCAATATATGATATTCAACTTTAGTTCTACCAGTTAAGTACTATTCAAGGTGACTCAATTAATATGTTTCTTGATTAAAAGGTAAGTAAATTCCTAAAGCAGCAAAAAAAAAAAAAAAAAAAAAATCACGTCAAACAACTGGTACGTTGTTTCCATGGTTACACTGCAAGGTAGCAATTAATCCCAATTTTTCTTAGGTTGTCGGTGTTGCAAGGTCCTAAGGATGTATATGTGCCAGTCATGAATTTTGTTTTTCCTCAAGATAGCAGCATTAACCCATTTTTAGCAACAGATTTTGCATGGTTACTCTGTGTTACCATGGCAACCATGAAAGTTATTTTTAGAATAATATTTCCAATACCTAATTACTTAAGATCAAATATTTTTATTGTTTTTTCTTAGGTTGTTGATTGAGTTTGATCATGTTACACCTAACATTAGTGAATCTGGGCGTTTTTCAGCATATTCCAAATGTACCCATGGTTACCACTTACTTAGAGATATATTCTAGATAGATTCAAAGTAGCTGAAAATATTCTGGCTGTTACCATGGCAACCAAGACACATAGCAACGAAATTTTATTTGATATATGTTTCTGGTGTCAAGTTGTAATAATGGGCAAAGTTTCATCAAAATCGGTGACCATGCGTGGCAAAGAAGTGGTTACAGAGAATTGCTATTAATTTTTGTTTTATTATTATTATTATTATTATAATTTTTGTGTGTGTGTGTGTGTGAAAATGATGTGGAAGCACTTGCGTACGCCTAGCTACGCGCCTGAGTTACGCCGTCGTAAATATGCACAGAACGACAATATAAACCAACAGATAGATCCCCAAACTTGGTCTATTTTAACCCCCCCCCCCCCAAAAAAAAAATAATAAGCCGTCGTTTAAATATCGTTGTTTGCTCTCTCCCGACCGACTGTCTAAACACGTTTTTTAACCTCCAGAAAACAGAGGGGGGGGGGGGGTTCATTTCGAAGTTTTCTCTTATCCCATTTATAACTATTTTTACATCACATTCGCAAGTATTTTTTACCGGTAATTTTAGAAAATTTCCCTCTACCTACCGATATTTTAATCCTGAGCCGGGAGAGGGCAAACAAAGATTTTTTTTAAAGATAGCCTAAATGATAAAATAAATAAATAAAAGATTTACAATTCATTTTGTCTGTGAAAACAAAAAACAAAAAAAAAAAAAAACAACTTCAGTTGGGTATTCTTTATGTAGTTTAGAGTAGATTCAAGTTATTAAAAGTCAGTGTTAGAATCGGAGCGAGAAATGGAGTTTTTTTTTTATTATACCCCCTGCAAACGAAGTTTGGGGGGGGGGGTATCTTGGAATCAGCGTGTCCGTCTGTCTGTAGACGGGATTTTGACCTCCTGTTCTCGAAGACTTTTGCATGAATTTGTCTGAAAATTTATCATGTAAGGTTTGTAAGTAGCCGCTTGAATTACCCGGAAAGGTAGTTCTATGCATGTACTTTCGGTTTCGAATTGTTAATTGTACCCATAAGAATGTGGAAAACACCACTGTTTTGTGTGGCTTTATCGTGTCTCCACAATTTTATTCCACAATGCCTATCATTACGGTCTACTAAGATATCTTGTTGGGACAAGAGTGGACAAAGGGAAGAAATGACGTGTACAGGAGAACATGTAGTTTACCACTGTATTCCTAATGAGCATAATCAGGAAGTAGAAGTCTGTGTACAGTGGAAATGGATTTCTCCAGGTATTTAGATATAAAGAGAGCACCTAGTCATTTATTCTTATATCTGTTGTCTATTGGAGGAATACAATTTTTAAGAGATTAAGATTTTTGAATATAAACCGTTCCTTAAACTTTCTCCGTTGAAAATGAAACAAAACAACCCATTTACTTAATTCATAATTTCCATTTTTTGGTCTTTTTTTAGTTACTGGCATGGTATAAGTAAAACAATTAATGCAAAGAGTCAATAATTTATCAAAATCTACCGATAATAATATTATTGCCAAGTATTGATGTCTGATTAAAAAAAAATAGTTTATTTAATTGAATAGCAAATTTATTGAATTAATAATCGCAAATATTTTATGTAATTAAGTAAAAAAACTCATTGGTTTTGGTTCACACCTACTTGTATTTTATTTTACTGAAACAAAGACACGGTTTGAACACACATTGGTTCAAACTGAATTCCTTTGAAATTATGCGTGCAATGCTAATATTTATTAGAGTAACAATTTGATAGAAGATATCCGCCTATTTCATTGGAAAATGACCGAGGTACCCGAAACACTTTATATATTTATATACTAGTATATGTACATGTACATATACAGTTATCGTGAAGAGGCAGTACTTGTCAACGCAACGATTTTAGTCATGATACATGATAAATTATCTCGTAATGTCGAAATAGCTATCACAACAAAATGTGTAAGATTATCTTGACTAGACGAGATAGAATTTGGTGTATCTCGATGAAACCAGCAACTTATCTTGATTTGACGAGATAGCTATCTTGACTCGACGCAATATCTTATGTTGACAAAAAATTATATGGATGGCATAAATATGCCACCATACATTTTGTCTTGGTATGTTTATTATCTGCGGCCGATCTATGGTTGTGTTAGAATATGCACATGGGAAATGAGACGTTATTTTTTTTCGTTGCTTCATTGTAATAATTCCTTATTGATCCATACATAAAAGTTATGAATAATAGTTTTAAAAATTTGCTAAAAACTAAGTCTAAATGGTTGTTATTATATTTCAATTTGTTTTTAATTTCTCGTCAGATGTTTATTATTTAATGATTTTACGAAAATTTGTTTCATGAACTGCTCCCCAACATGGGCGTGCATCAGATATAAAAACAAAACATATTGAGTTTCCGGATATGAATTAAAAGTGCCTAAAATAATAAATAAATTGGAACAAGAACAGAATTTTGTTTCGAATACACTGCAATTGCAATTTACACAATGAAATTTTTTTCTGCACTTCACATACATATCTATCATACACTAATCGGCATTATCAAGTGACAAAGATCCAGGATATCAGCACATGAAATTTTGTTTGCATGCAGACATTGATAATCAATTATTTTAGAAAATTTGGCCTTTATCCTTGAATCAAACAATTTGATGATAATACATTCCTATCCTTTATCTCAATCTAATTTTCATAATAATGAATTTATTTCTTTGGAATATTAATCACTGAAAATTAAAGTGTAAAAATAATGCACAGTAATGTAAAGCAAGAGTGAAAATGCAACATATACTTTTTTCTAAATGGATTTTTTTCCTCTGGACTTTTTCTCGTGGAAATACTTCAAAATGATAAAAATATTCTTGCGGCCGATTTGATGCTTTGCATCAATTTAACTTGTAATATTATGGGTCCAGATTTGACAAAGATCAGTTTCTTTAGCAGTATTTTTGTGTCGCCTGCAGAGCAGAGCGACAATTAGGGATCACTTTACCTGGCGTCTGTTTAGCTGTCCGTCTGTCTAGCTGTCCGTTTGTCTCGTCTGTCCTTCCTTTTTTTTTTTAAACAAATGCCATTTTAAAGATATACACGCTTTAACTTGCGTCAGTTAAAAATAAAGTTGGAAATTTATTTATTTTGTTTACCGAATAAAGTTACGAAGATACTGTAAATTACACAATTGAAAATGAACGCGTTAAAAAGATCTCACATTATAGTTATTTATTTTCCTACTAGGAAAGTAATGCATCTATTTAAATTCATGCGTCATGTGACACCGTAGCTACTTTTAGATCGATAAACAAAAATGGCGTCAAGAAAACGAGGTAGGCCGTTTGGTATACAAATAACTTTTGACATTGATGGCACACATCTAATGCTTAAAGATTCTTATCTTTTAAAAAACCAGTATTAACCATCTACTCTGTAATGACAGATATTAAACTTTTATCCATAATCGTAGTCAAAATGCACCGTACCTATAGTCGTCTATGATTTCCCGCGGACATGCGTGTCTATATTCTGTTTACGCAATTCATAAAAGGCTGAATTCTTAATTGCAGATCTTGCTTAACTGTTATGTAATTACAACGACTTATTTAGTAAGACTTTGTGGAAAGTAACTATTTTATTACACTTCATACTTCTCAAATGTTTCACATAAAAAAAATCGCGTTTATATAGCGTGTATATCTTTAAGGCTAACCTTAGTAAAAATGAAGGACTGAATTTTTTCATTAAAAAAATGCCAAATGCATATGCAAATTGAAAGGGTTTGTGATATTTTAAATAAGACTTTTTTTTAATTCACATGTAATTTACATTTTGTTCTTCCTTCAAGTGCTTAAATGTTTTAAAAACGTATAGAAATACAACAAAATTATAGTTATAGAGACTTGTCGTCTTAAGTTCCCGAATGATAACAAAATGATACAAAATTGATAAGGAAAAAAAATCCATTCATAGATTAAAATATTTTATCATTCATGGGTTTATCGTTAATGGTTGATACAAAGCATTTAGAAAAAATCCCACAATTCTAATTTTATACAAAATTGTTATTTTTAAGGTTACTGTCCATACTATGATTCTCCTTCCAAAGCTGTAAAAGAATTACATTGTGCATATTACTGCTTACAAAACATTAAATTACAAGAAACATGTAAGTTGAATACATAGAATAGAGAAATTTATGGATTTAAATATATTTCATTGAAATATTTTATGTAAGTTTTAAAGAGAAATCAGTTGGGCAAAAAATTTTCAAAAAGAATAACATTTTTCAGAGATGAATGAGAGGCAAAATAGTAATCTCACATAAAGTTACATTTTCTATGTACATTTATAAATATCCTGGTAGAAAATCATCCTTAAACCGTTTTGCATATTTTATAAAGGCGTGTGTTCATCAAGACTCAGTGTCAATACTTCTTGCAGTGAAGAATGTAAACAAGATTTTTCATCCAACACATGTAAGTTTTCTTTTCTGGACTTAATTTTTTTTTTTTAAACAAAAGCATAGTTAAATGTCTGAATATAATGCAAATATTCCTCCATTGCTTGGATAACACAGAATACGGATAAGAACTAATGATTTATTTGATCTGCTTTACATAAAAACTAAAGTAATTTTTTAAAATTTCATGTTGATTATTGGAGTTTGATATTGATCCTACTGAATTCATGAGATGCATGATTTTTCTTTCAATTTAAAAGAATGTGTGGATGTAAAAAAAAAAAAAAAAAAAAGATCCTGGAAATGGATACATTAAAGTATGCTTATAATGAAGTCTCTGGGGACTTCATATTTTAATTATTTATACTCATAAAATATATGTATTAGATAAAGCCCGTCTGTTTAGCTGAATGTCAGTAAATAATTTTTAAAAAGAAGATCCCTCAGGTTTTGTTACCATTTCAGTAGAACTTCCTACACACGTAGACTCTATCAAGATACAATGATGTAAATTGTTTTCGTTATTTCCTTTTTAGCTCACCTCGACGAAGTTGAGATGAGCTTATGCTATATCCCGGGCGTTGGCGTCTGGTTAGCGTCAACGTCCCAGTTAAATTCTTAAGGCGCAAGTCCATTCCCAAGTAAGTATAAATCCTACCTGAACCAAACTTGCATGGATGACGCATCTAGGAATGGACACTACCATACTTGCTTCAAATGCTGACTTTTACCTAGATGTTCCAGATGAGTGACCAGGTTAAAGTTTTTGGAGCAGATCCATTCCCAAGTAAATATTAGCCCTACTTGGACCAAAACTTGCATTGAAGATGCATCTAGGGATGGACACTACCACACTTGCTTCGGATGCTGGATCTGACCTAGATTTTCCTAATGAGTGACCAGGTTAAAGTTTTTGAAGCAAAGCCATTTCCAAGTAACTGTAAGCCTTACCTGGACCAAACTTGCATGTATGATGCATCTAGGGACGTACACTAACCAACCTGCTTCAGATGCTGGGTCTGGACCTTCATTTTCCACATGAATGAATTTTATACGTACTTTACCAAATTAGCATGGTTGATGAATCTACGAATGGACACTTTCAGACTTGCTTTGGATTCTGAATCTGACATACATTTTCCAGATGAGTGAACAGGGTATTGTTTTGAAGTAGCTCTATAGTTTTATGGCCTGATATGATTAAACTTGCATGGAAGATGCATGTACGGATGGACACTTCTAAACTTGCTTTGGATGTTGGAACTGACCGAAATTTTGATTAGTAAATAGAGCAGATCCAAGTATAAACTATATGTCCTTGCATGGATATTGATATTGGGATGTACACTTACTAGAGAAAATATGATGTGAGATTTGCCTTACCTTTAGATACCATTCGTTGAGGTGACCTTTGTAATCTTTGAATACCTAATTATGTTTTTGATTTTTTTGAACTGTGTTACCAAACATTTTACTACAATAGAACTTTGTGTGACGTAGTGGTTTGCTATAGAGTCGCGGGGTAAGGAATTGATCCATACTTCGCGGTCTCAAGTCCCACTGCGGGATGTGGAGACCGGTCTTTCGGATGAGGCCATATATAAACCAAGGTCCTGTGTCGCAGTAGGTGCTGGCAGCAGAAAGACTCCTCTCTGCTGAAACGCCCTAAATGCCGAGTACTGGTCTGAATTTGCAGCCCTCAACCGTCTCAATATATGTGAAAAATTCTCGAAGGGATGTTAGTCAAAGAAACATCTTCAAACACAAACTCGTACTTCAATATCTGCATTTTGCTTAAAGGTTTTCGACTTGGATAAAAGCTGTTGCCATGGCTATTAAAGAGATACTAGTATTTTGACATTCTCTGTAAAAGCTTGTCTTTCTACAGGGTACATGAAGTATTTTTTAAACATTTTTTTCCTGTCCCTCCGTCTGTCCCATTTGATTTTTCGCAATTTTTTTTCTAAGTGTTGCAGACGTTGACCTGATTTTTGGTATGTGAGCTAGTGTATCTTAATGAGTTACACATCAAATTTGCATTTCGTTCCACTTCAATGATTTTGCCGGAATTATAGCCATTTTAATTTTTAAGGGTTTTCCCGCACTAATTCCCCTAAACGTTTGCAGATATTGAGCTGATTTTTGGTATGTGAGTTTACTTTGATGTGTTATAGATCATGTTTGCATTTTGTTCCTCTTCAATGCTTTTTTTGATGAAATTTTGGCATTTTCAATTTTTAATGGGAACTAGATTACACTTAGGGGAGTAGTATTGCTAATGCAATGCTCTCAGAATTCTTGTAATAATAAGTGATTTGATATCGTCTTTTATGCCCTTTCATAAATTTGTATTGTTGTCTTCACCTTTTTCATTGTATTCTATCATAGATATCTTTTGTGGATATGAAAACCCTTCCACTGTTGTAAAGTAAGTTTCATATACATGTAACTTAAGTAAATTTATATATTATGATAGTAAAATAATCACAAGCAAACAACTGAGATAAATGGAAAGCTATATTATAATAATATTGTGTGATGTAAATTCTATTAGTCCATCATCAGCGACATCATCCTCAATATACGATTACTTTACCCACAAAGAGGAAAGAAATGGTACTGTTGACAGCAATGTAAATAATGACAACAGGTTTGTAGATCTATTTTCTGTCATATAATAAATAATGTTCACAGCATCTATTTCTTTGATGGCAAATTTAAATTTAAAGAATCGACGGGTAGAGCCAAAATTGTCTTCCGACACACGTGGTGGCTTAAAGAGCCTGTGCTGGGCAACACTTGTTTGTATTCTGCAGTTAAAGAATCTAAATGTGGACTAACTTTAGCTTCTTCAAATACTCCATTCATAAAATTCAAGGGAACCGAGTAAAATTTAGGGTGTGATTTTATGTAATGAAATGATTTTTTATGATAAATGCCATTCTATTTATGGACGTTTTTAGCTAACCTGAGACGAAGGCTCATATGGGCTTTTCTGATCAAAATTTGTCCGTTGTCGGCGTTGTTGTCATCGTATGCGTTATCTTTGTAAATTTTTACATCATTTTTCTCTAGATCCACTATGCCAATTTTTACCAAACTTGGCACAGAGGATCCTTGGGTAAAGGAGCTGATTTAAGTTCATTCAAAAAAGGACAACTACCTCTTCCAAGGGGAGATAATGAAAAAAAAGTAAAAATTGGGTTGGATCTTTGTCTCCAGAACTACTGGGCTAGAAAAGATCTGATGAAACTAATGTGAAAGCTTTCTGACATAGTGTAGTTTAAAGTTTGTTCAAATTATGACCCCTATGGGTAGGGTGGGCCAGTATGGGCGACCAAAGTTTTACATGCATTGGGTATAGATATAGCAAAAATCTTCAAAAATTCTTTTTAAGAACAGCAAAGCTATGGATAGTCATATTGATATGGTAGCATCCATAGGTAGTGTAGATTCAAATGTGTTCATTTCATGACCCGCGGGGTAGGGTTTGGCCATAATGGGCTATCATAACTTTACATGGGTATAAAAAAGAAAACAAGTCCTTAAAAATCTTCTTCTTAAGAACAGCAAATCAAGCCATGATCAGTCTTATTTATATGGTAGCTTTCATTGGAAGTATAGACTCAAGTTTGTTCAAATCATGACCCCTTGGGGTAGAGTGTGGCCACTTTGAACAAAAACGGGTATGAATGGGAAAAACCTTTATAAAAGCTTCTCAAGAATGGAATAAGTGATCAATCATATTTGTATGGAAACATCCTTAGGTTGTGTAGATTCAAGTATGTTCAAATCATGACCCCTGGGGTTGGATGGGGCTACAATAGGTAATCAAACTTTTACATGGGTATATATAGGAACGATCTTTTAAAAACTTTAAAATCATATTTATGTGGAAACAAGTGTTAATGTAGAATCAAATTTGTTTAAATCATGGCCCCTAGGGTAGGGTGGGGCTACAATGGAAATTTTTAAATAAGAAGTAATAGGACAAATCTTTTTAAAAATTCCCCAGAAGAATGCCATGTTAAGTCATATTTATATGTAAGCATCCACAGGTAGTGTTTGTTCAAATTATGACCCTGAGGGCAAGGGTGGGGCCATTATGGGCAATCAAAATTTTGCATAGAAATACAAAGAAAATATCTTTTAATTTTCAGCTCAAAAACAAGAAAGCCATGATCAATTATATTTATATTGAAGCATTCACAGGTAGACCCCCGTAGGAAGGATGTGACCACAATGGGCGATCAAAAGTTTACATAGGAATTCATAGAAAAAAATCTTTAGAAATCCTCTTTTCCAAAAGCAGCAAAGTCATGATTAGTCACATTTATAAAATAAGCATTCTCAGATAGTGTAGATTCAAGTTTGTTCAAATCATTAACTTATTTCTTTTTTCTTTCCTTTTCAGAATTATTACTTCTGCTGCAATTTCCTGTGGCGTTTTTCTTCCTCTCTTAACAGTAATCCTGGTTATACTGACGTATAAACATTTCAAGTTTTCAAAAGGTATTTATTTTAACTTTGACATAATTAAACTCTGTAATTTCGTATTTATCTTCTTTAAATCAAGAATTCCAGAAATCATATACATCATGCCTTACATTAATCCAGGTAGTTATAGTCACTTATCATTGTAATAAAACAGTACAATAATTCCATTTTTTGTGCCATAGATATATTTGATTCATGGTACTAGCATTTAAACAAACCTGTTGTCATGTGTCAGTAGCAGGACAGAAATAAATAAATTGAAAGTCGCTGAGCGTTTTATACTAATATTCTTATGTATGCGCGTTGTAAGCCACTGAGAGCTGTAGGATGTAATTTGAAAATATTCAATGCAATTCAATTTTTTTCCTGCAGAAAATGCATAAATTAAAGGCCAACGAGGGTTGGTATAAATAAAGAAGGTATAGTTTGGCCTTTATTGTGCCCTGAAATTCAATGTTTCTAAAAGTTTAAGAAATTAGCTTAAATTTGAGTTGAGTATATGAATTTGATAATTCATAAAAGAATGTGGCATGAAGGAGGACCATTCTGAAAATACGACATCATTAATTTGATGCATTTCTAATTTTTTAACAGAATAAGCCTCAAAATAACATTACTGGGGCTATTTTCCTTTAGAAATGGTGTCCACAGCCGTCGCTCACTTTATTTGTTAGCTCACCTGAGCTGAAAGCTCAAGGGAGCTTTTCTTATCACCCGTTGTCCGTCGTCCATGTGTGCATCCGTCTGTAAACTTTTCTCATTTTCAACTTCTTTTCAAGAACCACTGGGCCAATTTTAACCAAATTTGGTACAAAGCATCCTTGGGTAAAGGGGAGTTTAAATTACTAAATAAAAAACCAAGCTCTCTTCCAAGGGGAGATAATCACGAAAAGACAAAAATAGGGTGAGGTCATAAAAAAATCCTTAAAAAGATCCATTGGACCAGGAAAGCTGAAACTTACGTGAAAACATCTTAGGGTAGTGTAGATTCTAAATTGTTCAAAACATGACCCCCGGGGTAGGGCGCAGCCACAATAGGGAATCAAAGTTTTACATTGAAATATATAGGAAAAATCTTCTTAAGAACAACTGGGCCAGAAAAGCTGAAACGTATGTAGAAGCATCCTGAAGTAGTGTAGATTCTAAATTTGTGCAAATCATGACCCCCGGGGGTAGGGCGGGGCCACAATAGGGGATTCAATTTTTTACATTGAGATATATGGAAAAATCTTTAAAAATCTTCTTCTCAAGAACCACTGGGCCAGAAAAGCTGAAAAGTACGTGGAAGCACCCTGGGGTAGTGTAGATTTTAAATGATTCAAATCATGACCCCTGAGGGTAGGGTTGGGCTACATTAGGGAATCTAAGTTTTACATTAGAATCTTCTTCTCAAGAACCAATGTGCCAGAAAAGCTGAAACTTAGGTGGAAGCATCCTGAGGTTGTGTAGATTAAATTATTCAAATTATGACCCTTGGGGGTAGGGCGGGGCCACAATGGGTATTACTATGGGGAAATCAGGTGAAGAACAGCAGGGCCAAAGTTACTCAGGTGAGCGTTGTGGCCCATGGGCCTTCTGTTGGGTATATTGTGTAAAATCCATTAAGTCAGATTTATCTATATCTTTATGAGCGATGCTTGTGCTCTATAATAGTTGATGGAAAATTTAAATGAAAATTGATGTCTTCTGCTACTTTTTAAGAAAATACAGGAAAATTCACAAGTTAATGACATCATAATTAACATTTAGTATGTTCTTACTGCATGGGATTTCAGCGTTTCAGAAAGCATGAGTTTTATTTTCTTCCCTCACTTTCATATTTTAGAAAAATACAGGGCCTGGTATATTCGGAAACCGTACCTTGTTCTTTTCCTATCGCTAAATCATGACTTCGATATGTTATAAATAAGTAATAAAGAAGTTCTGATTTTGCGAAAGCCGAAAATAAGAAGTTCCAGCGACCATATACGCGATGCTGGTCTATATGCTGTATGTGCAAGCTTTTAAGTTTAAACGCTCTTAAGATCATAGAGTGTGATATGTTAACCAAAAAGGAGTTTATATATATTTTTTAGGATTACAAGCGACTTTTATAGTATAGTCTATAGTTTGCATTTTTTTTAGTTAGTTTAGGAATTAATAATGCAGAAAATAATACATAACGCGCGTAATTTTCGTACTAACAAAAGATTAGAAAGACATTTTATTGATTATATTTATGTCTGTTTAAATAACCATAGCACAGAAATGGAAATTAAATTTTGTATTATTGATATAAAGAGCCGCTGCTCAAGAAATCTACACGGGGGCTTTCTTTAAGCGGTCTTTACTGATTGATAAAAGACTATGGGTTTAAAAAAAAATGAAAAATGAAGAAAAGGAACAGTAATCGAGCTCAAGTGTCCATTTAAACAAATATTGGAAAGAGAGCAAACACGAACCTCTAAAACATCAAAGGTTGGATCAGGTGCTATGGAGGAGTAAGCATCCCCGGTCACTCCAGCTGTATGCTCCTTGTCATGATAGGACAAACGGGAAAATCCGTTGACAGTTCGGTATGAAAATAATAACCTAATAATTTGTATGAAATTACTTGATAGCTTTTTACTTGATGACAGATTGTATTTGCTGACAAGGTCATTGTATTGACTGTAGAATTGTCAAAATGGTGAACTTTTGATATCCTTATTCGTCAAGAGTTTGTTTTAGAAATTATTTGTTCTTCGAGCATGCTCTTACGTATCAATCATTGTACAAAAGGAGTTACAAAGCAAATTGTTACCTATAATCGACATTAGCTTCAATTCTTAATTAAAAACATTAATTAAGAAATGAAAATCTATTATCATTAGAGAAAAAACTATGAACAATGTTTTCTTTTCGCGTTGTTAATGTTGCATTGCAGTTTACTGGGTCCATTATTACAATTGTATATGTAATAACAACGCAAAATTTAATAAACTTAAATCATTACATTTTGTGTCGGTATCAAGCCATAATGTATAACGTTTAATGTAATAATATACTTTTCGGTTTGTTACATTTTGCGTTATTTCATTGCGAATATCTACGTGTAAGCACAAAATGCGCTTGTTAACATGTGGCTCATAGGCCTCTTATGTAAAGTATTTCATATACAAATTCATTTCTCTTTGTCATGATCGGGGGAAAAAAAACAGAAAAATCTGTAGACATTTCTGTGTGTAAATAATGCCCTAGTATGAAAAACGTTCGTCAGCTTTTTAGCTCACTTGAGTTGAAAGCTCAAGTGAGATTTTCTGATCACATTTTGTCTGTAGTCCGTCTGTCTGTAATTTTTTCACATTTTCGACTTCTTCTCCAGAACCACTGGGCCAATTTCAACCAAACTTGCCACAAAGCATCTTTTGGTGAAGGGGGTTCAAGTTTATGCAAATGAAGGGCCACGCTTTCTTTCAAGGGGAAATGATTAAGAATTCGTGAAAAATTAATAGCATCTTTAAAAAATCTTCTAAAGAACCAGAGGGCCAGGAAAGATGAAACTCATGTGGAAACATTAATTGGAATTTTCATTTTCACCCTGGGGCTCAGGAAACCAGATATTAATAGAAAAAAAAAATCATTTTTTGACCCTTTTTCTGCCCCCAGGGTGAAAATGAAAAT